TCCCCTTTCTTGTTTTTTCCAGGTGTCCTAGCTGGGCCCAACCGGTGTACTAGCTGGGCCCAACCGGTGTACTAGCTGGGCCCGACTGCTGTACTAGCTGGGTCGAACAGGTGTCCTACCTTCTTCCCCCGAATACAACGTATGGTCATTATAACTGTATTTAGACTGAAAGCTACCCCAAATACAGCTATAATTACCATACGTTGTACTCGGGGGAAGAAGGTAGCTGGGCCCAACCGGTGTACTAGCTGGGCCCAATTCAAAGAGCACACAACCTTCATGATTGGCTAGCTACCGACCCCCAAAGAGAAACATGGCAGGTTTGGCACATGGGATTTGGGTATCATTGTGGTTCAAAAGTGAAGCTGTGCCCATGTGTAGACTTATTTTCTTATCTTTGTTGTTCTGTTCTTTTATTCCTTCCTTCAGTACGGGCGTCGTTCGACACTCCTCGGGGACGCGATTCGGAGGATTCCGTCGGAGCCGATTTTCGGAACAGAAATGTGAAAACACTCCGAGGACAAATCCTTGGGCTCCGAGGATTTCCCAGCCAAATCGTCCTCGGCTCCAAGGGACCTCGCGTGGAGCCCGAGGATCCGTGTTTCACGGAGAGGAGAGGGCATGCACGTAGAGAGACGTTACAACCGAGAATTCTGATCCTGGCGGCACCCTATTGGCTGAAAGCCTGCAGCACAAGTTTTTTTCTTTTTTTTTCCCTTTTATTTTTCTGACATTGCTCCGAGGACGAGTCCTAAAACCGATGCTCCGAGGATGAGTGGAACGAAGACGACAAAAACCCTAAACTTTTCCGAGGATTCATCCTCGGAGCCCGAGGATGCCCCGAGGAGTGTCAAACGACGCCCTACTTCAGAGCATTCCTCCATTTGCAAGGTGTTATCCTTGCAAAGGCAGGGGCCGTGCCAATATTTTCTCTTTATGGTTGCGAAATTTTAACAGATGTCCTGGACTTATCCTGGGTGCATTGTTATCGTCGTCATCCTCATCCAGCCTAAAACCTAAACCCTAAGCCCTAAGTCTTGACCCTAATCCCTAAGACTTGACCCCCTAGCCCTAAGCCCTGACCCCCTAGCCCTAAGCTTTCACCCTCTCACCCTCAGCCCTGATCCCGTAGCCCTGACCCCCTAGCCCTAAGCTTTCATCCTCTTGCCCTCAGCCTTGACCTCCCTCTCACCCTCTCACCCTCAGCCCTGACCCCGTAGCCCTGACCCCGTAGCCCTGACCCCCTAGCCCTAGGCTTTCATCCTCTTGCCCTGAGCCTTGACCCCCTAGCCGTAACCCCTAAGGTCAAAATCTTAACCTCTAAACCTTAAGCTCTAAACCCTAAGCTCTTAACCTTGATCCCCTAGGCCTAAGCCTAAACCCTAAGCTCTACCCCCTGAGGCACAAAACCCTAATCCCTAAACACTAAGCCCCAAGCTTTAAACCGTAAAGCCTGAACCCACTCTCTACACCTCAAGCCCTGCACCCCTTAGTCACACATGGCCATCGTCATTATCAGGACAACCACCATTGTGTAATGATGTAATCATTATACTAGCCATCATCATCATCACCATCATCATTATCCTCCTCCTCCTCCTCCTCCTCATCCTCATCATCATCATCATCATCTTGTGGCGGATTCTTGCCGTATAGCCTACATCCTGAACCCTACCATCTTCCCCCAAACCTGACCCACCCTGATAATGAATGTCTACAGGCCATCTTTCCGCTTCATAAAACACAGCCATACTGAGGGTGCATTGTCTTCAGGTGAATCATCATCATCATCATGGCTATCTATCATTGTCAGCATTGCTGTTCATCGTTTTTCTTTTTTTTTTGCCCATCATCATATGGTTTTTGCAAAGCCCGAGTTTTTTTCCCTTTCACATAAAAAAGGTGGGCAACAGCCTTCAGATATCATAGCCCAGTCCAGTCTGTCCAGATACCTCAGAATTTCTTATTCGCCCGGTTTTACATCTGGATTTGAATTTTGAACTCAGGTCTGCACTTTCACATTTTAAAATCAGTTCGTTTGTGGCTATTTTTTTAGAACAGCGAAATCAGAATTTTTTTATTTTTTATTTTTTATTTTTTTTTGGGAAACATAATTTGCATGTGGCGGAAGGCTTGATCCGAAGGCTGAGTTGGAAACGAAATCGCTATGCGTTCCCCTTTTTTTTTTTTTTTTTTTTTTTTTGCTGTTGTTAACAACAATCTTTATATAGCCAGGAAAAGGGCCTGGGGTCCCTCAGATCAAATACTCCAGCCACGCAGGCTGGACAAGGCACTTTCGCCCAAACCCATCCCTGCCTTGCGTATTTTGCAATGCAAGCCTAAGCCTCTTCCTCTCTCTCATGGCACCACTTCTCCTCCCTTCTCTCTGCATCCTCAACAGCATGCATCCGGGAAAAAAAAGTAAAAAAAAATAATAATAAAAAAAAATCCAAACTGCAATTGAGTCTCCGCCATTGCACACCCACATGCAGACATACAC